ATTCTGCTTAGAAGGAATGATATATTACTGATTACATAATAAAGATAGCTATATTTCTCATGAGAAACAGGAGGGAGATATATATTTAGGTGTAGGGCAAATATATCCTTGATATGAAAAATGGATTCATTAAGTATTTAATCTTTATACCATTCCTGTGAAATAAATGCACACATACATCACATGTGTTTTAAAGTGACTTGATAATTAATATTGTTACACTCGAGAACAATCTCAGCTCCCCATTGAGAAGTCATGTCATGAGTCAGAGACTACAAGCACAGGCACACCGTGCACCCTCTCTGAGCACAGTAGCCAGGCTGCACTCTAAAGCCAGGTGACCTTTCCCACGTACTGGAAGATGAATCCTAGATTTGTATTGTAATTTTAATTGTTTTGGTGAGGTTCTACTAGTCACTGAAGCTTTTCTCAAACTTAGGCTTCACACAGTTCCAAGGGGCATGGTGATGGCAGTTGAAAATATCTTGGGAACCAAAGGGCTTCCGTGAATTCAATATGGCTTTTAATCTCCTCTTGTGTATTAAAAACCCTGCTGCCATTACTTCTCATTTTATTTCCCTCCAACATCACCATCATACAGGGAAAGCCTCACACTTTCTAAAGCCTGTAGAAACATTTTCAGAGATCCTGGTGATGGTATTCAGACTTCAAACATGAGGGTGGTTGGTTGGAGTTTAAACAAATGCACAGATTTTAGCACCTCAGGTGTCAAAGGTCAGCAGAAACAAATCTTGGTAAAATGAAAGAACAAAATCATTCTAACCACAATAACTTTGAATAGTGGGTGGATCTAACTAAAATGTATTCTAAAGGGATTGTGGTTAGGTAGAAGACACTAAAAAGAAGGAGTTAAAAGCTCATTTTTCATACATATGTTTATGTTACAGGAGAGAATGGTTGTGAATGCAGATGCACTTGAGTTCAGGTATCAGCTCTGATATTACTAGGTACGTAGGCAAAGAATTTAGCCTCATTTGAATTCTGCTTCCTTATCTATTGTCTAAAAATCCTACTCCTCTGCCCTTAATAAGGTCGATTACATGCACACCTCTAGCACAGTGCCTAGTAGACAATAGAAGTAAACAAATGTTACATTTCATCCTGTTCTCCACCTAGACTTCAGGAAGTATAATCCTGGTATATGGGTGTGCATATATGTTATATAGTGTAAGAAGGTAATGCCATAACTTTTACCCTCAGTGATGAAAAGAAAAATTGCTTGCATTTACTTTGCCAGGTTGCAAATGAAAATTATAGAGTTCACTGAGGCACAGTTATGGTCAAAGACCTCAGGATAGACTAGACTCTGCTGTCGTTTAAAACAAACCCGGGTAGTCAGTGCTTAACATTTCTTTCATGTTCCATGTCCAGTAAGGGCCAGTGGATATCTGTGTTGTTGAGTCTCTGAGGGACACAAGGCTCTTCCTCCTTTTATTTTATTATTTATTTATTTATTTATTTATTTATTTATTTATTTATTTATTTATTTATTGGCTTTTTGAGACAGGGTCTCACTATGTAGTTGAGACTGACCTGGAACTCACTATGTAGCTCAGGCTGGTCTCGAACTCACAGCGATCTTCCGTCTTTTAATGTCACTACCTCAATGTGGTCTATAAGAGGGAAAGAAAAGCATCAAAACAGAGGGGCTGCTCTTACATGTTTGGATGAGGAAGTACTAGGGATACTTTCATTTACATTTCAAAGAGCCTTCTAAAGCAATCCACCCAGGTGCCTGGAGAGATTGGCTCCTCCCTGAAACAAAGTGGTGAGTAAAAATTCAAGTGTACCTGGTGCCACCAAGTCCAGGGAGGTTTCTAGTAGTCCCAGCACTTGCAGCAAAGAAACCCACCTGAGGGAACACAACTCTGCATGGCACCCACTAACCTTTGCCAGCAGCAAACCCAAGCCTGTCCCCTTCCCTAGTTTAGTGTTGTGAGCAGCACTGTAAAATTTCAATTATTAACTTTCCTAAGTAATTTCTTACACCTGTCTCAAGTTGTCAAGCTTCTGGACGTTTCATGGCAATGAGATTGTTATTTTGTCACCAGATACACCGTACTGTATTTTCACTTCAAAGTAAACTTCCTGTACAGTTGATGTTCCATTTTTCCTTCTTTCCCAGAAATGTTTTATCATCTTCCTTATTTGCTTCCCATCTGTGGTTGACTGATTGCATTAATGGTCCCCATTTTTCACCCCTTCTCTGCATTCAGGCCCCATGAGGCTTTGCATGGCCTCTAGCAAAAGAGGTAGGGTTGATTTTTCCATGAATCAAAAAAGTGAACAAATGCTACAGGGAGGGTCCCATGTTCAAGGAGACTGGCCTCTCCAGGGAACTGACAGCAGCAGGATTTCTAGGCTTCCAGGACCTGGGAGGAGACTCCACTCTGAGTCTTGGGTGGCTCAAACAGCTTGAAGCAGGAGCCCTGCTGATGGACGGCTCAGGGTATGGGGGATAAACCCTTGAATCAGTTGGCAGGAGCTAAGTCAACAGCAGCCAGGCACTGGGTAAGAGGCTGAAGTGCAAGCCAAAGTTCTCAGAAGGCAGCTGAAGAACAAGCAGGCAACAGAGACAAGAGAGGTATCCTGGTGGTACCAGTAGGCTCTTTGGTTGCTGCGTGAAGATTGCGAGACATTTCACAAACACCGACAGGAGGAGGGGGAGATGCTGAGCTCTAAATTCAGTTGGAACTGGATGAGACTCAGACTCCTGCCTGGCAGGGGCTAACATCTGCCATCTAGGTCACTCATGTTTCTTAGGAGTGGGCATGTAGGAGCCTCTGACGCCCTGGGTCTCATTTCTGGCTGTAAATCTGATCACTCACATTTAAAAACTAGTGCTAGAGGGCTGGGGATTGAGCTCAGTGGTTCCACCGCCTGCCTCACAAGTGCAAGAACTTGAGTTCGGTCCTCAGTACCACCCCCCCAAAAAAAACCCCCAAAACTAGTGCTAGTGCCTGGGCTTCACCAAGATTTTGATTCAGTTGACCCTGTTGGTAGGATTACTAATAATGTGCAGCCTGGGTTGAGAAGCACTTAAATACCCTTAGCCTTCTTCCACACTTCCTCTTTTAATCTGCACTTTAAATAGATGCCCAACTATAATGCTTAAAAAATGAATGATGAAAATAATTTTTGAGAGTAACTTTTATTTTATTTTTACTTTTTTTGGTACAGGGAATCAAACAAGAGTAACTTTTAAATTACTGATTATACACACAGTCATTTGGGATCCGTAAGGTGACTAAATAGAAGCACTTGCTAGTAGCCTTAGTTTGCATGCCCTGCTGTGGTAATAATCTGACAGGAAGTGTACCACAGACCTTGAAAATGCTTTACACTGCAGATTTCCTTTAACAGGTGCAATTAAAAACATTATCATGCCACTTGAAAATGACAAAATATTGACAATATTTTAAAATATTTCTTACCAAATAAGAAACTCTAGGGTTTTTAGTACAATGTATTCCATGCTGAGGAAGAGAAGAGAGAGCTAGGACCCATGGGACAGGGAAGTTCTTTGGGCTCTTGTGAGGAAGGTATAGCAGCCTGTGACTATCAGGGTGTAGCTTTCCAAGCAGAAAGAAACACAGTGTGAATGCTATGAAAAGGATCTGCATCCCATGATCAATGGAGAAAGTAGTACAGAGTATCAGAGAGGCCCATAGCAGTTTATTATCCCAAATATCGAGCATCCCAACTGCCTGGAAAGAAGAAAGTAAAGACCACACACAAAATGACAACTAAGAGCTAGTATATTTTTATTTATTTTTGTTTTTTTGAGACAGGTTCTCACTATGTAGTTGAGACTGAACTGGAACTCACTATGTAGCCCAGGCTGGTCTCGAACTCACAGCAATCCTCCTGCCTCAGCCTCCTGAGTACTAGGATTACAGGTGTGCGCCACCACACCCAGCAAGTATATTTTTAAATTGAGTACAGCTGATGTTATAGAGAATATTCTAAGGATGATATAATGCTTTCTTGCATAATATTTATGATGAGCAGAGATATGCATGGCTTTCATCAGTTTTCTCTGAGTGATATAAAATAATCTTTTATTAATATTGTTCTAAATTTGTTACCTTTGTACATGATCTCAGAAGACCAAATGGAAATCACATTATATAAATCAAAGGAATAAATGAATGTGAAAGAAAAGAGTTATATGCCCAGATAATAAAAATTTGTGCCCATTCTATTATACCGTAAAACACTTTGTAAATGTAAACATTGCACATGAATGTCAAATAAACATATAAGTGTTCTCTTCCTCTGGATTAAAAAAAGAATCTCAGTAGGCAAAGAATTATCATTTCATATTTAAAAGTTGTCTGTGGCCCATGTCTTACAGCCTGTATCAGTTGCTTCAGGGAAGCCAGAATCTCAACAGAGATGACAGTTGATGGCTGGAAGTTTGGGGAGGAAGGGGACAGAAATCCTTGTTTCACCAATCAGTAGCTCTGTGTCCACAGACAAGCTACATAATCTATCCAAAGTCGTATTTTGAAATGTGTAAAATGGGATGATTCTTTCCATTTCAAATGGTTGTCACTGGAACAAAAGATTTAAAGATACAGCACAGCTGCTGACGTGCTCATGGCTCTCATGACCAGTATGTCATCAGAGGGCATCGATGTGTGGAGGGATCACAAATATGGATGCTGGGAGATACACAAGACAGCTGGAGGACAGAGTGGGACTAGGGCATGGTGGCTACTCTCCACCTGGAAGATGTGGAGTGGGCAGTCACCCCTCCACAGCTGGGTCTCTCAGTTCTGCAGCAGTTACAAATTCAGGGCGCTGGACATCAGTCTACTGCCAACTGATTATCAGTGTTTCTAGTCAGTGAATTTGGCTTCTAATTCTCTATTAAAGAATTTGACAGCAGCCTTATGAGTGGCTTCTGGAGCAAATCTTTCTGAAACAAATAGTCACTTGGAAACTAGGATTACCCCAAGCCATACAAGCAGGAATTCAAATACAAAAATTTTATTCACTTTTGAGAACAATAGAGATTACATTTTCTCCATGATGGAAAAAGATACTCCACAGTAGGCATATTTCTTACCCTGCCAGCAGGAGGATCAACATATTTTCTCCCTTTCCATTCAAAACAGTTGATTAGTACATTAATTAGATATAGTGAAATGTAGTCTAGGTAACAGCTTGGAATGTAATAAAGAGGCAAAGGGAAACCCATTACCAGGAATAATCCATTAACACCTCATCTGCTGGTGACCGTGGCCTTGTAGGAGACCAGTGCTGTCTATACTGAGGTTCACTCTGCTCCGCAGTCATGGACCATCCGTGGAGTGGTTCAGTGAAACAGCCTGTGCTTCATCATACTTTCCTCTTGGCAGGCAGTGACCCTCAAAGTCTCTGAGACTTTTAACCAAAGAAGGTGTGGATGTTTCCTTACTGACAATATCAAAGATCTACTGTAGAAGCATGACAAACTCTGTTCCCTGTTGGACCAAAAAGACACAAAAGGTTTAAAAATCAGGTTGTCTCTGTTAGCTACTTTAGCTGAGTTAAGAAATTATCTTATAAACACAGATTCTTAAAAGTCTAGCCTGCATGCACCCAAGCACACTTGACAATATTAAGTTCTGTAGAACAAAAACATTGCTGAGTTTATTGAAAAAATAAATAGAGTAATGAATCCAGAGTTAGGACTCAGGTTCAAGCCCCAGGTCGATTAGTGAGTACTCGAGTAACCTTGGGCATCATCATTTCACTTCTCAAAATGTGTAAACTCATCTATAAAATAGGGATGATAAAATTTACCTCCAGTTTCTCACAACATTGTGATGAAAATTAGAACACATGGTGCACGTGGAAGTCCCATGAAAATGGTAAGAGGTTCTGTATATAAGTGCTATTGTTGTTACCCATTTCCAGGAACTGCTGAACATGTATCCTTAGACCATATCAGCAAGCTGACACCTGATAGACAAGAACGCATTACAATGTCATAGCCATTGTCTCCAGATGTTTTCCTTGCCAGCAGATAGAATGGTTCCAGGCCACCCTGTCAGCACACATCCTTGGTGGAGAGCATTTTCCTAAAAGTGGAAAGGACTTCTAACCCCCTTCCCATCTCTTTCCACAAAGCCATATTGTCAAATAAATGTCACTCCAAATTCCTAAAGCAAGGAAAGAGAAATCTAGTAAGCATAGACACCTCTCGTTAGGTTTCTGCATTTTTGTTAAAATAGTTAATAGATCAGTCTCAACTGTGAAGTCTCTGTACAGCAGTAATTATTCTTCATTATTAACCAGCACTTACTGAAGTAGGTCATGAGATAAATTCTTGATATTGAATAATTTAAAGTCTGGGAAATTGAGATTTAGAGAAACGAGGTAACTTTCTTAAGGTAGACACATCTAGTTAGAAAATGACAAGGGACTTGATCGTAGGTCTGCAAAGTATAGTCTTAACCATTACATTATCATGTTTTGTCTGAATAACTACCCTTTAGTTACTATTAGATTTTCTGAGAATCAGATTCTAAGATAGAATGTTAAATAGCATTTAGAATTTCTTTTGTATCAATCTAGACTCCATTTTTCCATCCAGGTACTGCACTGGGAGGACATAGTCTCAGCTATGAATAAGTCCAGTTTGTTGATTTGGCATAGCTCTTAGCCAAGGATAATGAATTAATTGACTACAACTTCCTTCTTAGGATATGCTGATATGCATTCTTCTTCAAATTAAAATATAAACCCACGAGGATTTATTGCTCACAAAAAGACAGTCATCTAAGTATTCCTTTAATTTCACTGTTAGTAAGGATAAATATTTGGTAGGTGCCTATTAGGACTCAGACACTGTGCTAACCAATCTAAAGATATGATTGCATTTATGAATCCTCTGTTGACTCACAGATGTTCCAGACATACTAGGGAATGCCTAATATGAATACATGATAATTTTCACTTAACCATTTCAATGGAGAAAGAAAATGATTAGGATAACATAACTAAGATATTTTCCTAGAATTTGAGCCTATGAACTTTAAACTTCTAGAAAAAACTTTTGAGCTTAAAACAACTTCATTACACTGTTCTGCAGAAGTAACAGCAGTATCACAGCTAAGAACTAGGATGTAAAAACAGAGAAGTACAGAGAGGAGTGAAAAGGCAGCATGAGTAATCTAGAGACTGACAGAACTCTTGAATTTTTGTATTCCACTGTTTCTGAGCATTCAGATCAAATTGACTTTCCTTTTCCTGAGTAGTGATACCACCCTGTACTATCACACTTATATTTAGATTTCTGAGGCATTTTCTTTGGAAAGTGTAAACTCTATAAGGGTAATAGCTCTGCTAAATTCCCTTGTTTTATTCATTCCGGAGGTACAAGGGAATTTATCAGAGCGAGGTTCTGTCACTTTCAGTTTCTGTATTTTTGGACAAATTACTTAATCTTTCTGTTACTCAGTTTACTATCATCTCTAAAAATTAGGATAATAAGGGTATCTATATAGAGAGATTGCTGCAATAATTTAATTAATACAAGAACAACATTTACAACACTGGTACATAATAATACAGAGTAATGTTAGTTATTCTTATTTGTGACTCTGTAACTCTTATTTCTAGGTATGAAAAATTTGTTTAAAATTAGAAATAAGATGTAATAGATTAATTGATCTCAAAAACGTTAGGAAATTTAGTCCTTAAAATCACTATGCTGACTTTAATTAAATTCAACTTTGACTATCAGGTAAACACGGCAGATTGCACAAACATACCCATGTTTACTTCCTTCAAAGACCACTAAAACACAGGGAGGGAAAAACTTTCAAAGGACATACCCACAGAATTTGGAGAATAAGAGAGGAGAAGACAAGAGCAACAAAATTTCTTTGGTGAGACTCTCACATATAGAGAGACTGGACCAAGGACTGTTCTGTTACTGATTGCGGAACAATGGAGGTTAGATTGTATATTTTGAGGGCAGATACAATAGAGCACCTAAGAGATATGGAGCAAAAACAATAGATCAAACCTATCAGCTATACTTGGCATCCCAGGCAGGAAAGATGAGAAATAATATATAAGTACTTTCCAAAATTAATGATAGATACAAAATTACAGTTCCCAGATACTTAAAGAACACTGAGAAAAATAAATTCCTCCATTCCAAGGATCCCCCAGATTATTATGATCATATCATATAAAACTAGAGGCAAAGAGAAAATTGAGAAGACAGCCAGTAGAAAAAAGATGCTCCATATGCAAAATTAAAAACTGAAGGTAAGAAATAGAGTATATTTGTCATTAGAAACTATGCAAACCAGAAGTTATTAGAATGTCTTTATTGCTGAACAGCAATAATTTGTGCTATGTTTTGTTTGTTTTTGAGACAGGGTCTCACTATGTAGTTGAGACTGAACTGGAACTCACTATGTAGCACAGGCTGGTCTTGAACTCACAGCAATCCTCCTGCCTCAGCCTCCTGAGTGCTGGGATTACAGGTGTGCACCACCACACCCGGCTGTGCTATGTTTTGAATATGATTTGTCCCCTCAATTCATGCTGGGGCTTGGTCCCTTACATGACAGCATGGGAGATGGGGCTTAGTGGGAGGTATCTGAGTTATGGGCATAGAGCCCTTAGGAAAGGGTTAATGCCGTCTCGCAGAAGTAAGTAACCTCTCAGAGTCTTGCAGAATTTGATTAGTTATCATGAGAATATTATCTCTTTTGTTACTATTCTTTCTCGGGTGCCTGCTTACACTCTGGGCTTTTACCATAAAGCAGCACAAGACCCTCACCAGATGCAGTGGCCCAGTAGTAGACTTCCCAGCCTCTACAACCATAAGCCAAAACGCACTCCTCTTTTTATAAATCATTTAGTGGCATGTATTCTCCTATAGTAACAGAAAGGGAAAAGGACAACCTGACAATCCAGATTTTAGTATCTGCCAAAAACACTTTTCAAAAAGAAAGGAGGAATATCAACTTTCTCAGGCCCAAAGCAGAAAACAACAGCAACAACATCTGAGAGAACCCACTGGCAGGAGACACATGCTATTAAGAAATGTTAAGGTTCTTCAGGAAGAAGGAATACAATAGCAAATGAGAATTTGAATCCATATAAAGAAATTAGCAGGACTGGGGATATGACAATTAAAGTAAATATTAAGCTTATTTTTTATTTCTAGTTGCTCTGAAAGATAACTAAGGAAAACATAGTCATTTTATATATTCGTAATATATATTAAAAGCACATACATGACAACAACAGGGCAAGAATGGAAGTGAGGAACTTGTAATCTACTGTCTTTAAATTAGTACTAAGAAGAGTAATATTTGAAAGCATAGATTTTAAATAAGGTGTGCATGGTAAAATCCTAAAGCAACTCCTACATTTGTTTAAAAGTGTATATATAATAATCTAATAGTAGGTATAATACTGCCTCACTAAAAAAAATTCTCAATCAAAAAAGGGGCAAAATTAAAGGAAAAAAGAACAAATAGATCAAATAGAAAGCAGCTACTTAGATGGGAGATTTTAACTCAATCATATCAACCACATTAAATATAAATCACATTAATAAAAAATTAGCAACTGTTAAGACTATATGTAAAGCACAACCCCGATACTGTCTACAAAACCTACTTTAAATATAAAGATATAATAAAGTTACAAAGATGGAAAAATTATACCATACAATCACAAATTAAGAAAGAGTTGAAGCAACTGTATTAATATCAAAAGTAGGCTTCAGACAAGAAAAACTACCAGTGAAAGAGACTACAACAATGTAATAAAGCAATTAATTCTCTAAGACATGGTAATTAATTTTATGCTTCTAAACCCAACAGCTTAGTGCAGATGGATAAATTCCTAAAAAACACATCTTACCAAAGTTATCAAGAGACAACAAAGGGCCAGGGATTTAGCTCAGTGGTTTGGTGGCCTGACTTGCAAGTGCAAGGACCGGAGTTCAATCCCCAGTACCAAAAAAAAAAAAAAAAAAAAGAGAGAGAGAGAGAGAGACACAATGAAAAAAATCTAAATAACTTTATATTAATTCTCAAAATTAAATTCATAATCTTAAAATTTTTCAAAAAAAGAGAAAACTCCAAGCCCTGATTTCTTTACTCAAATTTAATAATGAAATACCATACTGAATGCTTTCTTTTTGATTTCAGAAAAAGATGTCTTCTCTGTCTCTATTCAACATGCTGGGAGTCCTAACAAACTCAATAGTGTAAGAAAAAATAATAAAGGTGCACAAGTTAAAAAGAATGAAGCAAAAGAAACAAGCGCATAATAGTAGCTCCTCTACTGTTCCATGTACAAGAAGATTAAATCGCATCTGTAATGGGGACTCATGAAGGGAGACTGACTAAAAAGGTGCAAGAGGCAACTTTTTTTTTCTTTTTTTTCTTTTTTTTTTTTTTTTATTGAGTTTATTGGTACATTTAGGGATACAGTACAGTTACAT